TATAAATTCTCTCCACATCAATTTTCTCATCTCATTAATGAAAATAAGAACCTCATGATATTATGAGAAATAACAGATGGAAAATTGTAGTGAAAGTACCTTTAATTATAAAATATAGTACAATTTAATACATTATTGTATGTATTTTTACAGAATTTGGTATAAATAATACTGATCAAAAAGCTCTTCTTTTGTGGCCTTGAAAAGCAACTGTACAAATTTTAAGGAAAAATGGCTACCTGTTTTATTTTTTAATATTTTATTTATTTTTTATTTTTTTAAAGACAGGGTTTCACCATGTTGGTCAGGCTGGTCTTGAACTCCTGACCTCAGGTGATCCGCCCCCCTTGGCCTCCAAAGTGCTTGGATTACAGGCGTGAGCCACTACACCTGGCCACGGCCACCTGTTTGCTAATAAAGGTGTCCTTGCTCACTCTCATCTCTGGAATGAGTTATATCCACATCTCCAAGGCTCATCTATGAATATAACAAAGTTCTCCATTTATTTTGATTCCCTTTAATGGCACTCAGTAAAGTTTCATTTATTCTCTCTAAAGTTTTTGATATTTCTGTTGTTATTTTAAACTAAATTCTTGGTTTGAGGTTTCCTGGATCATGCTGGCGATATGAGTGTAGGCTGAAATCCACCAGGGATGGTGGGGGTCCTTTTCAGGTATGCTCTTCCCCTACTTCACTCAGCACTGAGGCAATAGACCTCCGTGGTGCCCTGCGGGTGGGAGTGGAGCTGGTGACTGTGGCTTAGCTTCACCCTGAGGGCATAGCCATGCAGGGACACAGCAAAATGTGTATGTGGCAGGGATTTGTGGGCAGTGCTGGGGAGATGCCCCGCTTTGGCGGGCCCTGGACTTCTTTGTTTCTATTCCGCCGACTCCTCCGTTCATCAAAACTGCAGCTCAGCTTCAAATCTGGGTCATCACATCTTTTCAGAGCAAAGTTCATTTTGGTTCCTGCTTACATTTCTGGTTTTAGACAGGTAATTCCTTATATTATTTTGGTTCTTTGATGTTTCTATAAACTTTAAAAAATCCAGCATGATGGGCCATTGCCCATGAGAGGTGAATTTGAATAACCCAGGCTGCCATTGGCCCAAGCAGAAAGCTATTAGTTTTCAAATTCTGCTTCATACCAAAACAGGAGTTTAGAACTAAAGAGGAAAAGAAGGTAGTGAGGCTCTCTTTGCTTAATATATTTCTATATTGCTTAATAGGCTTATTTCAGTATGGCAGTATTGGTAAGCAGCAGAGCTAGAAATGAATTTAAAAATTTATATAAAATTTTTATTCTCAGAAATAAAACTTTATGGTTCTGTGAGTTATCAGGATAATTAAAAAAAATAAGACTACGTAATGGTTTAAACAGTTTGTTTATAAAATTCCATTATATTATTCATTTTAGCTAAATGACTATACTGATATATTGTCCCTGTAAGTAATGACTCAGGATTTTATTTTAAGGTAGCTTAACTCACGTACTTCAGAGATTTGAATATTTCAAAATTATTTTAGTGGTAAAGTATATACAGAATAAACCACAGAACCAATTATGTTTTGCCAATTTTCTCCTTGAGGATGATTGCAGATTTACACTTCTTAACAGGAATACAGGCTGTCAACTAGAAATAATTCCTTTCGATACTTTGGAAAGAAGCTAGTGGAATAAAATTTAAAATATTGTGTGTATACTCTACATAATATATATCATAGTATCAAAGTGAATAATATATAATCTTTGAATGCAAATAGCAAAACGTTTCTTGAGTATTTTTAAATTCAGGAATTTCATAATATAACGAATATATATTGGTAGTCAGGATGATCTTTGTGAAATACAACATTAATGCATTTTATTTTTTATGGAAATTAGAAAAAATGTTACTGCAGAAAACAGGAGTAAAAATACATGTAATATTGAAAGATTCAGTCATATTACTCTTCAATAAACTAAGACGACTATGAGTTTTCTTCTGTTAATACTAAATGGTAGCAGGTTCCCCAAATTTAAAAAATCATAGGGGAAAAGGTTAAAATGAAAAAATTCTATTTTTATATTCTCACTAGGTACTTTTGAATTTCCTGCCTTAGTTTAAGTGTCTACCCATTTGCTTCTTTGTTTGTGCTACCTTTGATCTTTCTTTGTGTTCCCTCACAGCCGAGCTTCTCATAGAGGCCTCGGGCCCTTGTGTCCTCCAGGCCTGACCACCCCTCACATCTTCAGGACATGTGTTTGGATTGTGGTGGCCATTCGAACCCCCTCAGACACTAAGTCCCCTCATCTCTTTTCAGGTCCTTTTCCTGGACTTTTCACCGTACTTGACATTGTGAGCTCCTGACACTCCCTTCTCCCCAGCCTCCCTGACCTAACCTCTGCATTCTGACCAGAGCCGGACTGTCTCCATCCTCCTTCCCCACCCACTCCTCCAGCATCAGTTGGCTTCACTGCATGCACTCACACACACACATCCCGCTGACATGGCTACGTGGATGACTCCCAAATGCTGTCAGTTCCTGAGATTCAGTCTCATTATCGATTGGTTATCTTTACCAGGGTCTTCGACTAATGCCACCAACCCAGTTTGTAACACATAAACCAGATGTCTATCTGCTCACATTGTTTCCTACCATGCCTTCATCTTCTGTTTTTAAAAAGCAACACTCTCCTTGCAGCAGCTCAAGCTTGAAAGTGCAGCTTCATCTCTGACTCCACCTCTGTGGCACATAGTGCTCTCAGCTTTCCAGGAGCTGCCATTTCTGGGTCTGTCCCTGGAGTCTGATTTTCCATCTCTGCCCTCTGAATTTGTTTTCTGAAAGCCTCTGGATGACTTCATGGCCTTGGCCTGGGACAACCTTCCCGTTTCATCTGCAGTCATTCTGGTCCCCACGTGAAGCTCATGCTAACCACACCAGAATCAGCATCCACTGCTCCCTAAGCACACATGCATCTTCATGCCTCTGCTCATTATAGTCTTTGGAATGGCCTTCTTCCCATTTCTCTGGTGACCCAAATGTGTTCTTCCTTCAGGGTCACTGGGGTACTTAATGCCAGTTGGTAAATGAAACTGGAAGAGGCCATGGGAGAACAGCACTTAAAGAGGGGGATAATCCAAAAAACAATTTAGGAGAAAACGAAAAAAAGGATTTAGAAAAGTCTACTGATGACTCTTCTCAAAGGAGCTGTCTGTTCTTGGGATTTCCAATTCCAGCCTCCCTTCTCTCTTAGATCCATTCCACGGAAACTGCTCCTAAGGATAACAATGGCCCCCATGTGTGAAATCCCTTGGTCAATTCTCAGTCTTCTTACTCCAAAACCCACTCTCTCCTTTCCGTTGATGATAACCCCATGCTTCCAAGTGAGCCAGCAATCTTGGTGCCATCTTAGACACCTCTTTCTCTTAAATCCCCGGGCCAGTGGGCTCTACCTTCAGAATCCCCACTGCTCATACCTTCCACTGCTACCGTAGTGGTGCAAGCCATTCCTGCCATCTGTTTCTTGGATTCTTAACTGGTGTCCCTGTTTCTTCTCACCCCTCCCCTCACCCCAAGTCTATTCATAACACAGCAGTCAGAAGGGTCCTGTTGAAACCTAGTCAGATCACTTCACTTTTCTGGCCTCCACCCCATTTCAGTCAGGGTAAAGCAATTCCTCCTTTCTGCTCCTTTTACTCTAACCTGGGCTCCCCCGGAAATATTTTGCCAACACACAGGTTGTTCCTTATGCCTAAAAAGCACGTCCTTGAGAGGACAACTCCATGTGGCCAACTTGCTCTCCTTGTTCAAGTCTCTGCTCAAGGAAGCCTACCCTTACTATTTCCCTTACCATGTTCTGTTTTTTTCCACTGTACTTGCCATTTTCTATTGCATTATATAATTTACTTACTTATCCTTATCATCTGTGTCTCCCTGCTAAAATGTAATGTCAGTATTCACTGATATACTGCAAGTATCTACAATAATGGTTGCACATAGCAAATACTGTCAAATGAAATATCTGTCAAATGAAAATATCTGTCAAATGAAAGAAAGAAGGACTTTTGAGAATAAAAGTTCTATGAAGTGTTAAGGACCTAAGGTAGTTTACGTGAGTCCAGCATCAAATGCATGTGAAGAAATGGAACCACAGAGGGAAAGAAATTTGTAGTTTATCTAAGCCTTTCCATTCCCATACAGAGTCACTCTGACATATGAAAACTACATCTATTAGAAATACCTTTATTATTTTTAATTTGGAATAAGACATTATGTAGGGTTCAACAACATGAACATTTTAAGCATCAAAACATAAGGACCATGACATTCTTAAATATTTGTAAATACCGACCAATCTTAAGTATCAATAAATACACCTTATATTAGCAGTTTCCATGTAATAGCCCATCATATGCAATTTGAAAACAGAGCAAAAATTGGTCAACTGGTTAGTCAAATAAAAGCTCATCCTTAACAAGTCCACATTTTTTTACAAATGCAAATAAAATAAAAATGTATAATTATAATAGAAATAAAAACAAATATAGTAGGCAACCAATACTATGAAACCTAATATATAAGAGAAGCACTTTTGCATTCCTAGAAATATGATTGTTGGCATTAATTTTGATGTTGCCATAGGTTTTTTAAAGTAATGGCTGATTTCTTAAGCTCCTGGACATAGGCAAACATAAAATTATTTACTTATGGTTTTAAAATTAAAATCGTTCTAAAATTAATGTACAATTGTAACATAAGAATAATTTCTGGTGGGAGGGTGGTCTACACTGAATATAAATCACCAAAAACTTACACAAAGAAGTAAAATGTAGCTCCCCCTAATTAGATTTGGAATTATTTTGGCTTTCAAAAATTGCAGTGTTTAAAATGAATCAAAATCTTAATTGATTTCTCTGGTGATTTTGAACACAGAAATTTTACCTAGACCCTCTTCTTGGAACATAAAATATGAAATCAAAAATCCATATTAAATCACACATATATGTATACATATATGCATATATTTTTATAACTTTCATTAGGATAAATATCGTAAGATAAAAATAAAACCTACTTTGAACAAAAAATAGGCTAATATTAACATGGCAGGTTTTGCTATGTAGGTTAACATTGATCTAACTGAAGTACTATACTATATATTCTAAATTTTAGACAGTAATGGAATATAGGAGGGGACTACCAAGATGACTTACATAAAGAACTGGAAGATGCTACATACTACTTCAGCAGTGGATGTATGGTTTTCATTATTTTGCTCAGTGTAATAATAAAGTACGTCTCCATTACCTGAGGCATAGTGAGTGGGCAGTAGCAGGAAGGCAGCCTGGGAGTATGTGGAACAGTGGGGAAGGCTGGCTTCAGGAATGACTACATGCCTTGGATGACTGTGCTCATCAAATATGCATATTTACCAATGTTATTTTCACCACAGCCTCACAAAGTGACATACCACTCTTTATAGAAGTCTACTAGATATCTATAATGCAAACTTGAGAATGAGAAAACCATACTCAAAAATGGGCTTTAGACAAAATGTGTATCCTTATGAAAATGGTAAAATAATTGGGAAATAGAGATAATTCTGGAAAACAGAATGCTTAAAGGTATATAGCAAATTAATTAACTAAACACAGTTTCAGGAGGAGGAGTCACATTTACTGTTTGAAGGAGACTTTGTGTTTATTTTTGCTTTTAATTGCAATGGTTTAGTGAAATGGTGGAAACAATAAATCACATTTACAAGATCAGAGTTACTTATACTTGGATCTCTACTGGCTATTTTTATATAATAATTGTTTCAGTGGAATGTCCAATGAAGATTTTTTGTTTCTTTTAAATATATTGCAACAAATATTTTGTACATTAAAAATCTAAAATGTTTGAAAGCCAGAATAATATCGACTGAGAAGCTGCATTTCTATTTCTCTGTTTTTTCAAATGTTAATTTATTTGTAATATGGAGCAGAAGGTCATTCTGGACATGTGCTTCAATACATACATATTCCTAAGTCTGTGCCAGGAACCCAGAATGAATTTGATTGAGACTAGACCATCAGCCCTCAGGGCTCAGGCCATGGCTCTCTCATCCATTTCTGGAGTGGACACTGTTTTCCCCACTGCCTGGCACACAGAAGATGCTAAGGAGCATTAGTGAAAACAGAAATCTCCACCCCAATAAAGACTCTAGTTTGTTGAGAAATAGGTTTTACATTTATTCAGGGCTTCCTGTTAGTTTGAATGTAAAAACAAAAGTGAGATTTAGCGAGCCTGCAGAGATATAGTAGAGATCCCCAAAATGTAATATATATATATACATTCTTGTTTCCTGAAAAAATATACTATATCTTATGTTAGAAATATATATTTTAGTGTTTATGAGTAAAATTATATGATGTCTTGAATTTGCTTTAAAAGATTACAGCAAAAAAGAGCATGTCTGTGAGGAACAGATGAAACAGTGACAAAATATTAATAACTGGTAGATCTGGGCAATAGGTACTTAGAGATTCTTCATACTCTTATCTGTGCTTTAGGTGGTTTGAAAATTTTGACAATAAAAATGATAAATTCAAATTTCAATAATAGTAAGGGCAAAATAAAGATATTTTCAACTATCAAAATTACTGTATAAGATCATTGGATGTTTTGCAAAGATCTGCATGAGACTATTTAGATGACATTGTTGTAATAGTGAACAACTGGGAACAACTGAAGTGTCAATCAGTAGCGACTAGTAAATACAGTACACCTACATATAACAAAATGCTATGCAAACATTAAAAAGAAACTGTTGAGGGAAAAAGGAGGTTCCACAGTAGTATGCAGAGCTGATTTCATGGTCACAGGAGTGTGAGAGACTTCTGGAAGAGTGTTCATTGTATGTTCAGAATGGTCATCTCTGTAAAGAGAAATGACAGATTTTTAAAAAAACTTTTTTCTTGAAACTGCTCTGTACTACTCAAGGTTTTTACAGGAGTATGTATCAAGTTTCTATTTGGGGGAAATTATTTTCTATAATGATTCCTGCAAGTGGGAGCTAAATAATGTATATACATGGACATAGAGTGCAGAATGATGGACAATACTCAGAAGAGTATAGGGTGGGAGGGGGTGAATGATGACAAACTACTTAATTGAGTACAATGTATATTATTCCAATGATGAATACACTAAAAGCCCTGGCTTTACCACTGTAATACATCGATGTAACAAAATTGCACTTGTACCCCATAAATTTAAAGAAATATTAAAAATTTTCTCATTATGTTACTCCTTCTACCTGATGAAATAATTTTTAAAATTTAATTTAATGCTTATTTTGAGACAGGGTCTCACTTTGTCATTCAGGCTGGAGTGCAGTGACAAACACAGCTCATTGTAACCTCCACCTCCCAGACTCAAGCAATTCTCCCACCTCAGCCCCCCAAGTAGCTGGGACTATGGGCACATACCACCATGCTCAGCTAATTTTTCTGGGGGGAGGGGGACAGAGTCTCACTCTGTCACCCAGGCAGGAGTGCAATGGTGCAAACTCTGCTTCCTGGGTTCAAGCGATTCCCCTGCCTCAGCCTCCCAAGTAGCTGAGATTACAGGCGCCTGCCACCACGCCCGGCTAATTTTTAGTATTTTTAGTAGAGACGAGGTTTCACCATGTTGCCCAGGCTGCTCTCAAACTCCTGACCTCAGGTGAATCACCCACCTCGACCTCCCAAAGTGCTGGAATTACAGGTGTAAGCCACCACGCCCAGCCCTACTTTTTTATATATTTGCAGAGACAAGGTCTCACCCATGTTACCCAGGCTGCTCTGGAACGCTTGAGTTCAAGCAATCCACCCGCCTCAGCCTCCCAAAGTGTTTGAATTACAGGTGTAAGCCCCCACTCCTGGATGACTTTTTAATTTTAAAAATTGTGTAAGGACTTAAGTAGTTCAAAGTGAGAAAGTGCTATACCTCTAAAACAGTCTGAAACCTAGAATAGATTTCATTTCTTTATTTTTAAATTTTATTGCACTTTAGGTTCTGGGGTACATGTGCAGAACTTGCAGGATTGTTGCATAGGTGCATACATGGCAATCTGGTTTGCTGCCTCCATGCCCCCATCACCTATACCTAGCATTTCTCCCCATGTTATTCCTCCCCAACCTCCCTACCCCATGTTGTCCCTCCGCTATTACACCCCAACAGACCCCAGTGTGTGATGCTTCCCTCCCTGTGTCCATGTGTTCTCATTGTTCAACACCTGCCTATGAGTGAGAACATGTGGTGTTGATTTTCTGTTCTTGTGTCAGTTTGCTAAAATGCAAGTAACATCTTCAAGGCACCTGCATTTTTTCCTCAACCACCTACTGAGTGCATTAAAATGTTAAGATGTCAAAATGTACACAAAATACAACAACATAATGTATATAGGAACAAACTTAAATACCTTTTAGTTAATTAAAATCAGGTTGAAAATTCTATTAGTTATAGGAAGAAATAACAGTTGGAAAAGAAAATGTTTTCTGGTTGATTCTTAAAGAATCTGAATTGAAAGTATTCCAATAGTTCTATGTAAAAAATAACTTGTGGGTATTTTAGCAATATGTTTGTTCTTAGAACAGATGGCAGAACAAAATGAAATGTAATTTCCAGATGTATTATTTTGTAAATTCAGTGCCATGAACTCAGTGTTATCAACTGAATATCAAGTTTAAACGTAGTCAACTGTAGCACTTTTGGAGTAAATTTTAACTAAATAATTGACCTTTGAAACATCATTTCAGGTTTATTAGCTTGGGCAGGTATCCCAAAAAGTTAGCTGTCCAAATCTTCTGTCTTAAGATAGTCTGCTGCTGCTGTGTGAGCGATTTAGTCTGCAAGGATCCCCAAAACAGAGTGGGAGGATGCCCACAGAGGACCACTTGCACCTGTCCCTCTTCAGAGTCATTACAAAACAGCTGCTGTGTACAGTTCTTACTGAAGGGGTGTCCTGTTCCCACCATGTCCTATTTCTTTGCTGATTTTAGTGTTTCAAAGAATTTAAAAGTAGCTCCTTCTCACCAAGAGGGTAGAAACCCCTAAATTTGGCACTCCTAATTCAGATAATGTAAACACAAAAGATATCTGTTACCTGGTAGACATTTTCTTCTTTCAGGTCCATGTTCTAAGCATTAGGAATGATGAGAGATTTCTTAGGTTTTGACTTATCTGAGTGAAGCATCTGTATTAGATTGAAGAATTACATTTTGTTACAAATTAACTGCGTATATGTACAGTTGCCCTAGGGTAGATATTCTGTTTATTAATTAGATGGCTCTAGATGATCTTGGGGAAACCATTTAAATCCTTATTTAGGGGTTTTAAAGGTCTAGCATATGATAAATAGTGTCAGATTAATTTTATTTTTACCTGCTTCTTAGAAGAACTGGATTGGTCATAGTGCACAGTAATGGAATGATGCTTCTTTGAAGTTTTGGAAGACTCTGGACATAATTTTCTCTTAGACCTATGGGCTATTTTGCTTACTATCAGTGTGTGGTCACTTGTACCAACTTCTTTAGCTTGATTTTCTGATTGCTGCTGTAGCAGTCGGGGATCTTCTGTTTCTCCAGCTGATTCAAAAATGTGTGGTTGTCTTTTCAGTTTTAGTGACCCATGGCTTTTCCCTAACATTTGTGTTATATGTTTGTCTGTTAAATTTTCTTTTCCATTCATTTGGAAGTCAACAGCACTTTTTATCATCCCTAAATTGTTATTTGACATCAGAAATACTGCACTATTAGATAGTTGCTTACTTTTGTTTAAGCTTACAGTCGATTTTCGATTAGAAGAGGAAAATTCTGTCATATTTTCACAGGACTTAATTTTTTTTTCTTGCAGAGGTCTGGAATTCTCCTGATTTAAATTGCTAGCAGCCTGCATCTGAATGTTACTATTAGATCTTTTTTTAATAGCTGGACCTAAATTGAGTTTATCATGCTGGATCATACTAGTTTTGAGTGAATACAAGTTAGATTGTGTCACAATATGCTGTTTTCTTTTTGGGCTGCCAAGTACTGAGGTATTTTTGTTTATTTGTAACAATTTATTTTTGAAAACTGGTACAAATTTGGAAGTGATATTACTTTGGGAGCTAAGATTTGTGTGTTGAACTTCAGTATTTCCTCTGTTGGGCATTAATACTTCCAAATGTACTTGTGGAGCCCTGATAGGCAGGGATTTCTTTCTACCCTGAACAGACTCTGGCTGGAGATGCAAAGGTGAGAAAATGCCTGATGTTGGCAGGCTGACTGAAAGCGCCACCTTGTGGTCCACTGCTATTGAACATGGTAGAAGACTTTGAGCACAGGCAGGTTTTATGGAAGTGGCTTGAGTCAGAGATGCCCTGAACATTTTTTTAGTGGTCAAATTTGGTGGCTTGACTTTGTTTTCCTGAAAGAATGAGATTAAAAAAATTTAAAAATGTTAATAATGCCCTTAATGGAAACTTAACTGTATATACTTAACTGCATATAATATAAAATATCAACCAAATGAGAATATAAAGCAACCCTATGATATACAGAAAGGTAAAGAAAAACAAAATAAAAATGAGCCTTTTAACGGAAATGTATACATTTCTTATGGCTTGTATCCCCCTTTAGATACCATCTAAAGATAAAAGTACATTCTACATTTCATATAAATCTACTATAAAAACCATCCATACAGCTACCCATTGTCCTCCAAACATGCTCATGCTGCTGTCTTGCTCACTGAACAAGGTATGACCTCCTTTATGTACTCAAAGTCCCACCTTCTCCCACCCATCAATCTACCATAAAGTGACTGTTTTCCTGTCAACTCTCCAAGGATCTGCTATCAATTAAATAATATTTGTCAAGAAAAATAGTACAAGGTAAGCTCTCTTATCTTTTAGTGCACATGTTCCATCTTCCTAAGTAGGTACTAGATTCTTTGAGGGTAAGAACCATGATTAATTTACTCTTATGTCCCTCACAGTTACTAAAAAATCCTTGTTGAAAGAATTTAATGAAGAGGTGGCTGCATCTACACTAGGCCTTTAGGAATAAATGGGATTTTGACTACAGGGAAGGCGCTATCTGTGTCTTAATCATGTTTATTTTTTCACTGCCTACCACAATGCCTGGTACCTGATAGCAATTCAGCAAGTATTTGTCAAATTTGTCAGATACGTTAAAAAAAAAAAAAAAGCCAAGTGTTTACAGTCTTTTAAAGAACAACTGTGTATATACATATACATACACATAAATAATATAAAATTTACCATTTTAACCATTTATAAGTAGTGTTATATAACCATCAACATTATCTGTTTCCACATTTTTTTTCATTCCAAACAGAAACTTTGTACTCTGTAATAGTGATTTCCTGTTTCCTTTTCCTTCCAGTCCCTGGTAACCTCTATTTTACTTTCTATTGTATGAATTTGCCCATTCTAGGTACCACATGTAAGTGGAATCATACAATATTTGTCTTTTTGTGTCTCGCTTATTTCACTTAGCATAATGTTTTCAGGGTTCATGTATGTTGCAGCAAGTGCAAGACTTACTCCTTTTCATGACTGACTATTCCACTGTATGTATAGAGCATATTTTATCCACTCATCTTTTGGCAGATAGTATTGTCTTTGAAAGTACATATCTGTTGAGTCCTGTTGTCTATAAAAGAGTGATAGGTGGCAATAATCTGAAACACTGAACACCAACTTATTTTCTCACTTTCCCCATGAAAACACAGGTTCACAGCTTGAAATAAACATTTTTAAACTGCTAGGAATAATATGCAAACTTAAATGATTGGTTTTCCTCTTCACTACTGGAGGTTCTATTGTTGAAGGAGGTTGAGAAGAGAATAGGAAAGTTTTGGGAAATCAGAGTTGTAAATAGGCACAAGCAGATTAATCCAATTATCTATTAGGTATAACAAATCATACCAAAATTTAGTTGCTTAAAACCAGTAAAATTATGTTATCATCTCTCACTATTCTGGGGATTGGCTTGGCTTAGCTTGGCATCTCTCATGCTGTGTGGTTAGATACTCTGCAGCTGGAGTCACCTTGGACTCCCTTCCTCTTTTACATGTGATGGGTGATACTAGCTGTTGGCTGGAATGCTGACAGGCAGTCTCTTCCTGTGCTGAGGATCTCTCCCAGATGGGGTTGTCCAGAAAGACCAGGTGGAAGCTGTTTCTCCTAAAGACCTAGCCTCAGAGTATGTTGCATCACTCTGTCATAGGGACATCCAGACTCAAGCAAAGAGAGACCCATACCTCAATGGGAGGAGTATTGTCACATGGCCAAATAGATGTGGAGAAGGAAATTGCAAGAAACCTAGTTCCATAATACTTAAGTTGACATAATATAAAGTCATTATGGAGAACAATACTACTCTTTCCATGTTGACTATCCTTGGGAAAAAATGGAAAATCCCCAAGAAAATACTGAGATTTGGGGGTGATGCTGAAAATAGCTAACCAGGATTCATTTCTTATCTGGAGATTACTCCAGTTGGAGGCTTACCTATGCCACCAGGGCAAGAAGACACCCCATCTTATTTTGTTTTGGCTGCTACAACAAAGTGGGTAGCTTATAAACAACAGTTTTGGAGACTGGAAAGTCCAGGATCCAACAGTTTTGGAGGCGGGGAAGTCCAAGATCAAGGCAGATCTCTCTTGGACCTTTTAAATATATACACTAATCCTGTTTAGCATAGCTCTACCCCCATGACCTAATCACCTCCCAAAGACCCTACCTCCTAATATCATCACCTTAGGAGTTAGGGTTTCAACATTTAAATTTTGGAGAAATACATTCAGACCATAGCACATCCTTCTTAATTTGCCCATTACTTTCAAGGGGCACAAAAAAATCCTAGCTAAGTTTCATGACCCTGAATGAAGAAATACAGAAGTTAACCAAGAATTGCTGGCTTACTGCCCCTTGACATTGCTCAGAGTCAAAAAGCATGCATCAAGAAGGGGTTTGTATTAGTTTGCTAGGGGAATGTGGTACAAAGGGCTACACACTGGATGGCCTAAACAACAGAAACATATTATCTTAGTTTTAGAGCCTTGAAGTCTGAAACCAAGGTGTTGGCAGGGTTGGATCCTTCAGAGAGCCATGAGGAAAGGATCTGTTCCAGGGCTCCTTTTCTGGCTGGTAGATGCCCTCTTCACATTCACATGGTGTTCTTCCTCTATGTTTATTTGTATCCAAATTGCCCCTTTTTGTAAGAACACTAGTCATATTGGATTAGGGGCCCACCCTACTATAGTATAACCTCATTTTAAATATATCTGCAGTAACTCTATGTCAAATAAAGTCACATCCTGAGGTACTGGGGGTTAGGAGTTCAGCGTATGTACACAATTCAACCCATAACAGATTGGAGATATACTTCTAGAGAGAGTAGAAAGAGGATGCAGCTGTTTTTCTGAAGACCTCCTGTACAGGGGAGTTAGGGTAAATGGATAGGACAGACTGGTGTTCAACCTCCATTCCACTTTCCTCCTAGTGCTCCTACCTAGACCAAAGCCTGGAAATCTAACAATTCATCTTTTGCAGCTAGAGTTTGGACATGATTTAGAACCACCCAATCAAATGCACTCATAAAATATTTGGAAGGATAAGTGAGATCAAGCCACACTTCTGTTTTTGCAGAAAAGCTTAATTATGAATCTTTTATTTTCAGTTACACAGTTAGCAGCTAAAGCATAGGAGAGCAGAATGTAGGGCACCATTCTCTTGCTATAGAGAAGTAGTTCTCAACATTTTTGGGCACCAAAGACTGGTTTGTGGAAGACAATTTTTCCACGGGGTAGGAGGGATGGTTTTGAAATGAAACTGTTCCATCTCAGATCATCAGGCATTAGATTCTAATAAGGAGCATGCAACCTAGATCCTTTGTGTATGCAGTTCACGATAGGGTTCGTGCTCCTATAAGAATCTAATGCTGCTGCTGATCTGACAGCAGGTAGAGCTCAGGCGGTAATGCTCCCTTGCTCTCCTACTACTTACCTCCTGCTGTGTGGCCTGCTTCCTAACAAGCCACAGACTGGTAGGTCCATGGCCTGGGGGTTGGAGACCCCTGCTATAGAGCATACTAGGCAAACATACCAATGCTCTTCATCACACACCACTACCCTAATCTATGCAAGGTTTCCCTGCTCAGATGCTATCCTGAGAAGAAGGTTCTTAAATTGGATTGAAGAACACTTTTATTTTAAAGAGATATTTTGTCATAAGGGGCTGAGTCACCTTGAAGTATGCAGATTGCATTTTTTTCCATTTGATGATAAAAGGGTTAAAGAACTAAGTTAAAATCAATTATGGAAAACCAAAGAACATGCAGTGTTTGGATCCTTAGATTCTATAAACTATAGTAACATTTAAATAGCATATCTACTACTTGAGAAAAAAGAAAACTCACAGGCAGATTAATATAATAAATTATTTGTAATTGGATATATAAATGTATTAGAATAACTGTGTTGTGTATAAAATATGTTTATATTCACACTTTATTTCTTCTTCAGCTGTCTTTTAGAAATATACATATGGTGAACATAATTTCTAGAAGTTTCTTTTGCTCCCTAGCCTAGCCTGTCAATATGTTATTTACCCATTCTTTCCATTTTTAAGATAAAGTAAATAGCTCAAAGGGGGAAACCTCTAGGTTTATATGCAAAATTTATAAAAAGATTACAAAAGATACTATGTAAACAGCAGATGAGATCATAAATAATTCATAGAATTTAAATATACTTAGTAGTCAAGAAACTACAGCTTTGTGAAGTCACAAGCCAACAACAAAAAAAAAGCTTTATTATGTCATTATCATTCTGCTTCACTTATTCATTAACTGTCATTGGCAAATGTAACTTGGTTAAAGTTTAATTTCTAGAATTTATATACAACTTATATAACTTTATACATTAACAAAACATTATAGAAAGATAAAAGCTTGAACTTACATTTAGATATGAATGAATATCTCACAGAAGCCTAATATTAAAGTAATAATTAAATGAAACTTGAGAAATGACAAAGATGACTAATCAAAAGTGTTTTATCGATCGAAATTTGGTTCAGTGCATTGCACAACCTCAGTATATTTCTTGCTTCAAGTTGAAGCAGAATTCAGTCAAGCTTAGATATAACCACAGGCTTATAGGACATATGGGCTTTTGAAGAATATTTTCTTTAAGTGACATGACACAACAAGGAAGTAGTCAAATTCAGAATATGGGACAGTCTCCAGGGAAAACGATCTAGTTTCCTAGCAAATAAGTGGCCTAAATAAAAGGGGAGAGAGTTTGAGATGTTACAGAATAAAGAGGTTTAAGAGACATACATAAATTATGTGGGCCCCTTTTTGGATTCTGATTTAAACAAAACTAAAAATAAGTCT